ATTGAAAAGAGAAGAAAATGTAATATATCTGATATATATGTATATATATATAAAAAAAAAAAAAACCAAAAAACTGACCTGGAGAGCAGGTCAAAGAAAAATAATTTAAGAATCATTGGATTACCTGAAAACCATAATTCTTAAAGGCCTGGCCACTTTATTCCAGGGAGAACCATTCAGCTCTATCATAAGCAAAGAGCAAAATGAAAATAGAAAGAATCAGCTGATCACCTCTCCTTCTGAAAAACAAACATATTTCAAAAGACTGAGTCCCAGAAATGTCACACTCAAAATCTAAACCTCAAAGGAAAAATATTATGAGCAGCCAGAAAGAAGTTCACGTACCAAGGAACCACAGTTAGGATCATACAAGACGTGGCAGCTCCTCCCTAAAAAGAGTGGAGAACTTGGAATACAATATTGTGAAAGACAAACAGTATAGATTTATAACTAAGAATAACTTACCCTGAAAACCTGAGTGAAATCCTAAGGGAAAAAGATGTACTTCTAATGGAATGAAGGACTTTCAGGCATTTCTGATGAAAAGATCAGAACTGAATAGGAATTTAGAAATACAAAAACCAGAGTCCAGAGAAATATAGAAAGTTAAATTTATTTGAGGACTTGGAGAGAGCTGTATGATATTATAATGATAACCTTCTAATGAGGGAGAAGAAACAAATGTTCCTTCAGAATTGTAATGTCTTCAAAAAATATTGAGAGGATTAAATAAGAAAAACAGAGGACCTCAGTGGATTGGTTCTACTTTGATATTTTTAAAAATGGAAAAAGAAGAGAGAGTGAAAGGAGTATATTAATGCAGAAGGGAGGAAGAAGCCAGTTGAACTTGTTATTTTTCATAATTGGGATGTGTGAGAAAAAGAATATACAAACATGGAGGAAAGAGCTGGGGAAACCACCATCAAACGAACCTTGCTCTTATCTGAAATGGATAAAGGAAGGTTGAACACATGCACAGATACATCAAACTCAATTGGGACATAATTGAGGATAGAGAAGAGGTGATTTAAGAGGGAGTATACAAAACAAACAAATTAAACTTCCTGATCTTGGAGGGAGGATTAAAAGAAAAAAACAAGAACTGGTTCCAGTTCCTAAGAGGGATGAATGTCTATTATTGGGAGTGACGCGGCTGAACAGTTGGTGGCATAGGAATGTAATGAAATATTATTGCACCATAAGAAATGATGAAAAAGACTATTTTGCAAAATCCTGGGTAGTTTGAACTTGTGCCAAGTGAACCAACCCAGGAGAATAATTTACTCAAGGACACATGGTAAAGAAAAGAAAAGAACCAAGAATTCCAATTAATGCAATTACCAACCATGTGTCTCTCCAAGACAGAAAGAAAGCTGTCTACACCTGGTCTTCTCAAGGGGCAGAAAGAGACATTTTTTTTTAAACATGGTCAATGTGTGAATTTATGCTGCTTGACTTTACTTATTTTTTTTTTAAATTTTGCTGATTTATACTTGGTTAAGCCACCATTTTGTCCTCCTGGAGTTAGTTTCATTCCAATGCTTGAAAATGTCATCTGATGTAATAAGGATTTTTTTTCTTTGTCTCAGTCAGGGAGAGGAGGTTGTGGAAGAGTGAAAGGAAGCAATGTTAATACTGGGGGAAAAAGAGGCCCGTTGAAACTTTTTTTCCCTCTAAATGAACTCCTCCCCTTGCCTTCATCTGGAAATTTGTTTGGTCAATAGGTCATCAGGCTATGGCAACTCATAAGGCCTGAGGCACCTACCAAGTCTGAGAGATCCTGATGCCTCATGAGGAGGACTTTTTATGTCCTTAGATGACCAGGGAGCTGGGGCCAATTAGGTCCTGGGGTTGGCTTTGTCTTCCTTTAGGTAAAGTCTCCCCATGTTATGGGTGGGAGGAAAGAAGCTTCATCAGGGAAACCCTAGTCTTATCATGAAGGGGGCATCTCCTAAGAATCAAATAGCTTTACCCCTGGATGACGGAGGCAGCCCCTCCTCAACCTCCCAGGGCTAACACTCCACAGTCTCCCCAAGTCTCATGAATCAAATTCAAGGCTAGCAGGCTTAGTTACCTAAAGGCTTCAGTCAATCTCATGCTCCCCTTCCAATCTGATTGGAGAAACATTTTCATTTTTGTCGAGAGCATGCTGGACCCTCATCCACCTGGACTATTTCCAAAAGTTTCTTAACAGGTCGTCCTGTCTTCAATCTCTTCTCCCCCATCACCAAAATGACCCTTCCTCCACCCTTTCCAAAACTGTGACAGGATACCAGGTGCAGGTTGGACGAGGAAGCCTTTGAGGTTCCCTTCTGCACCTGAAATCTTCCACTGAGTAAATATTTCTGAAGTGCCTATTAAGAAAACAGTCATTGCCCTCTAGGAATTTATTTATAGTCTAGTAAACAAGAACCCTCACCACAATATCCATGACAAGTGGCCTCATAGAAAGGGAATTAACAGTCTGGCACAAGAGGTACAAAACCTTGCTCGAGCAACAACCCCCTTAAAGTTAGAATGGACCAAATAAAGCTAATGATTCCATGAGAAATGAGAAACATTAAAACATCAAAAGACTGAAAAAAATAGAGGAAAACATAAGATATCTCATATTAAAAAAAAAAACTGACCTGGAAAACAGATTGAGGAGAAAAGAAATTAAAAATTATTGGATGTTTGACCAAAAAAAAAAAAGAACCTAGACGTCATATTTCAAGAAATCTTCCCAGATCTCTTAGAACCAGAAGGCAAGGTGGAAATTGAAAGAATCCATCTCCTGAAAGAAACATCAAGATGAAAATCCCCAGGAACATTATAACCAAAATCCAGAGCTTTCAGCTCAAGGAAAAAATATTGCAAGTGACCAGAAAGAAGGAATTCAAGTACTGAGGAACCACCATCAGAATCACACATGACTTAGCAGCCACCACAGCAAAGGAAAGGAGATTTTGGAATGTGACATTCCAGAAGGCAAAGGACATAGGCTTACAGCCAAGAGTAACTTACCTAGCAAAACTGAGTATATAATGATACAGGAGAAAATATGGATCTTTAATGAAATAGAAGACTTCCAAGCATTCCTGGTGGAAATACCAGAGCTGTGTAGCAACTTTGAAGTTCAAACATAGGGATTAAGGGAAATATAAAAGGGTAAACATGAATGAACAATCATAAGGGACTGAACACAGAAGAATTGCTCACATTAAAATGGGGGGAGGTGATAAATGTGTCTTCTCTGAACCTTATAATCATCAGGAGTCATAGAGAAAGTCTAAATAGATAAGGCCTGGGAGTGGTTCTGTTATGTCTTGACGAACTTAAAAGAAGAATGGAAAGGCAAGAGAAGAGGAAAGGATAGAGGATGGGAGAAAGGTCAGGGAAAATTATCTCAGATAATTGGAATGCACAAGTAGTTGTCTAGACAAACAAGGAAGTCAAGGGCGGACTGCCTGACACTTGAACCTCACTCATCTGAACTGGTCAGACAAATACACATGTACACACTCAACAGAGAAGAAGAGAGAATGGTGGGGAAGGGGAGTTAGAGAAAGAGTAGATTAAGGAAGGGATTAGTCCTAAGCAACGGGAACTTTGGGCAGCTAGGTGGTATTCTGGATAGAGCACTGGGCCTGGAGCTAGGAAGACTTCATCTTCCTGAGTTCAAATAGGGTGTCAGACATTTAACTAGCTGTGGGACCCTGGGCAAGTCACTTCACCCTGTTTGCCTGCATTTTCCCATCTGTCAAATGAACTGGAGAAGGAAATGGCAAACCGCTCCACTACCTTTGCCAAGAAAACCCCAAAGGGGGTCAAGAAGAGTCAGATACCAACATGAACTTTAAGGATATTAAAAAAAAACATTTATAGCTCTGTTTGAGGTGACAAAGAATGAGGTTTTGAGGGGTGACTTAATATGTTACATATGATACATATAGATATAGCTATAGATATATACATGTGATGGAATACTGTTGTGTTATGAGAAATGGTGAAAGGGGTGGTTTCTGAGAAGCTGGAAAGAACTTGTCTGAACTGATGCAGATGGAAGTGAGCAGAACCAGGAGAACGGTTTCCACAGTGACAATAACATTGTAAAGCCTTAGGAATTCTGATAAGTGTAACCAGCTATTCCAGAAGGACCTAGGATAAAATTTGCTACTCACCTCCTGAGAGAGAGGTGAAGGACTCAATGTGCAGAATGAAACATACATGTGTGTACATATATATATACATATATATAGATATATAGATATATAGATATACACACATATTTACATATGGTTTTCCTTTAGACATGACCAATGAAGAAATTGTTTTGCTTACCTATACATGTTTACAATAGTGGTTTTGTTTTTCATTCTCAGTTAGAGGGGGGCATAGATGGGAGAGAAAAAGGTAGATTTTTGCTAATTGAAAAAAAATTTAATTAAACAAGATATCAATACAATTTTTTTTTTAAAGAAGGAAATGATGATGCCTCTGTCCTGTATCTCTGATCTTGGAATCTGGAGATCTAGATACAAGCCTCAGTTTGGCCATTCCTCTGTAACCTCGGACAAGTCCCTTCCTTTCTCTTGGCCTCAGTTTCCTCTTCTGTAAAATGGGGCTATTCATACTTGAGAGCTATGGCTGTTGTGAGACTCGCTTGAACTATTGATTGGAAAGATATTCCTCAACAAGGATTTGTTAAGTGCCTACTCTATACCAGGCACTGTGCTAAGCACTGGAGATAATAAGAAAGGCCCAAAGACAATGCCCGCCCTCAAGGAGCTCACAGTCTGATGGGAGAGACAACATATAAACAGTCTGATCAGTACATATCTGTTAAGCCCCTGGCTGTGCCAGGCATGGCTGGTGACCGGGATACACAGGAAGGCAGAAGACAGTCTGTGCTGGAGGAGCTGACAGTCCACAGCCTGGACACGCATGTGGAGGGTGATGATGGGCGGGGGATGGCATCTAACTTCAGGGCTCCTGCCCCACCCCTCTCTCTTCCCCAGATTACGGAGATGCCTTCTCTGAGGAAACCCTGGCACTCCATGGCAAAGGTGCTCATCCTGGGATGCCTGTTCACCGGCTTCCTTCTGCTGTTCTACGCCTACGTGGCCCCACTGCAAGTCAGCATGACTGAGTGAGTAGGGGGAGGGAGAGGGGCTTGAGGGAAGGAAACGTTCCATTAAAGGAAACAGCTCTAGTGCAGGGAGAACCTAGAGCCCTGGGGACTTGCAGCATCCCATCCAGGTGCTTTTCCAGCTCAGCCAAGAGTAAGCTCTGGCAGGACAGTGGTTGTACCTGGGAAGGGTCTTAGAACAGGGGATGTCAGGGCTGAGAGGGGCTTAGAACAGGGGACGTCAGGGCCGAGAGGGGCTTAGAACAAGGGATGTCAGAGCTGGAAAGGACCTTCAGACAGGGAATGTCAGAGCTGGGAAGGGATTTAGAACAGGGAAAGTCAGAGCTGGGAAGGGCCTTAGAATATGGATGTCAGAGCTGAGAGGGGCCTTAGACCAGGGGATGTCAGAGCTGAGAGGGGCCTTAGAACAGTGGATGTCAGAGCTGGGAGGAGTGTTAGAATAGAGAATTACAAGCTAAGAACCACTCAAGGCTCGGGGTTCACATGAACATGGTCTGATCTTGGGGCTGACCCCCGAGGCTCACTTTCTCTCTCTGGGTCATCGCCCTGGGGCTACCTGAGGACAATCTCTAAATACACTCATGTCTCTGTTTCCTCAAAGGTGGGTCAAAGGGGTCCCCAGCTCCTCTTAGTTATTTGATGCTGTGACCTCTCACCAGTAAGTGGAATGAAAATGGGAGGAGGCAGTGAATAGAGTGAGTTGGTTATTGGTTTATGACAATTGTCTCTGTGTTCTAAGTTATCAAACTGTGATAGTTGTGTGAAGGTTATGCCCTCTGCCCTGAGATCATGAGGACCAAAGGTTTGACTCATCCTGGGAGAGGCTGCTTGCATTGGGCCCCTCTGGCTCCACCAGGCAGCCTTACCTTCACTAGCTAGGCCTTGGATCAATGACTGATTTCATGGATCATCTGGGAGAAAGGGGAGAGAATTCTCCATCTTTGGGTATGAGTGTATATATTTTATATATATATATGTGTATATATACACACACACACATATATATAAATGTATACATGCACAGCTAGGTCCCAATTAGCTCAAATAACATGTATTTGCATTATTCAAATTCACACTGCATATTTCCATTAGACTGAAACCAATAACCCCATTTTACATAATTATAACTTCAAATAGTGGGAATTTGAATACATTGGGACCTATATTCATACACTTTTCATTGGCATTCTTTTAGAGATATTTTAACATAGATATGTTTAAATAATATATCTTATTGATATTTTTTGTTTTGTATTACCTGTATTTCCCCTTGTAGATTTTCCTCTTCTCCAGCCTCCCAGAGAGCCATCCCTTAAAATAAAGAATTTTTTTAAAAAGTGGAAGAGGGAAGGGGCAGCTAGGTCGCACAGTGGATAGAGCACCGACCCTGGAGTCAGGAGGACCTGAGTTCGAATCCGACCTCAGATACCTAACACTCACTAACTGTGTGACTCTGGGCAAGTCACTTAACTCCAATTGCCTCACCAAAAAAAAAAAAAAAAGTGGAAGAGGTGAAAGAAATCCAACAAAACTCATCAACCCTTTGAAACAGACTATATATACATAAAATATAATATGTATATAGATATCTATATACATATATATATAGACACATAATAAATATAAATATAAAATATCTTTGGACCTCCATAGAAATAATAATTTTTTTGTCCATAGAAACCATTTTTTTTTTTAAATCCAGCCACTGAATCAAATGACACCATCTCTGTAGGGCTGAAGCTCTGTCTTTGGGACCGTGGATCAGCTACAGTTCCCCAGCTGGCAGTTTCTGCTATCCTAGCACAGCACCTTTGGTTGCTAGGATTAAGCTGTCTCTATCCTAAGACTGTGCTGCTCTGATTGGTGGTTGCCATGGTCACCTGGGTCCAGAGCCAGTCATGCTTCACTTCCTTCCCTGGCCATCTTTTTATTAGCTGCCTGGCCACCTCACGTTTCATGCATGCCCTCTCCCCTGTTTTCCAGTTTGTAAACCTTAACCAGCCAATCAATCAATCAATCAATATTTATCAAGTGCCTACTGTGTACCAGTCACAGTGCTAAGCTCTGGGGTTATGAAAAGAGACAAAAAGCTAGTCCCTGCCCTCAAGGAGCTTATAATCTAACAGGGGAAACACCACACAAACAAATATGTACAAAGCAAACTTTAGACGGGATAAATAGGAGATAATTAAGAGAGGGAAAACACTGGGATGAAGAGGGGTTGGGAAAGGCTTCCTGTAGAAGGTGGGATTTTAAAGGAACCTGGAGAGGTAGTAGCTGGAGCAGAGGAGGGAGAGCATTCCAGGCATGGGAAGGCCAGAGACGATGCCTGGAGGGTCTTGTTCATGGAACATCCAGGAGGTCGGTGTCCTGGAGGTCAGAGTGGTGGGGAGTGAGGGGTAAGGGGCCTGGAGAAGTAGGAGGGGGCAGGTGGTGAAAGGCCAGGGTCATTGCTCATGGAAAGGTCCTATCAGCATATTGCCCAGTGTCTCCCCTCACTATCCCTGAAACTTTCCAGACTAAATACCCACCCCCAAACCACTCCTCCCCAACGTGTTATCTCCTCATTTTAGAATGGAAGCTTCTTGAGGCTAGGAATTGGTTTTACGTTTGTATCTGTATCCTCAATGCTTGGCAAACAGTAGGTGCTTAATCCGTATTTTTCATTCATTCATTTATTCATTCATTCATTCATTCATTCATTCATACCTGCCCTCAGTGTGGCACATGCATATCAGCTGATGAGAAGTCTTTATTTCACTCTACATAAAATACATACATGGAAAGGACTCTTGGGAAATCAAAAAGAGTCAAACTTGAGGTTGTCACCAAGACAATCTCTTGATATTCAAGTGAATCCCTTTCTCCTGAAGAGTCCCATGGGCTCCCCTTGGGACTCATTGTACTACCCTTGGTTTAGAATCCCCCAGCATGGGGGCAGCTAGGTGGCACAGTGGATAGAGCACCGACCCTGGATTCAGGAGGACCTGAGTTCAAATCTGGCCTCAGACTGAACACTTGACACTTACTAGCTGTGTGACCCTGGGCAAGTCACTTAACCCCATTGCCTAGCCAAAAAAAAAAAAAAAGAATGCCCCAGCAGGCATGTGCTTTGGGGGCCGCTGACCCCCTCACCTACTTAAGGTTAGCCTAGCTTCAGCCTAAGACTGTCAGTCACAGTCCAACCCTAATCTTCCACAAAGTTAGGGAATTCCCCAGGGGACTGAGTTGAGGCAAGCTGGGGGATTCCATCTCTGCCCAGCACCCTGTCGTCTTCCTCTCCAGATGCAGAAATTTTTTAGTTTCTTGCAAAATCAGCCACTGTAAGCTTGATATCAGCAATTCACACACGATAGCTTCCAAATAAATCTTAGCACCTAGCAGAACAAGGATGATGAACCTTTCAAATTAAGCATCCTGGGTAATCATCTCAGAATGGCACCAGTGCAAATAAGCATTGGCGATATATTCAATAAGCCTAATACAGTATAAGATGACCCTGGCTCCATCTCTCCTCTCCTGGCATTTTCATCCCCCACCCCCCATCTCTGGAATTCTCTCTTTCCTCACCTCCAATTCCTGGGTTCCTTCAAGTCCTAGCTTGACTGCTAGCTTCTGTAAGAGACCTTTCCTGCTACCCCTTAATTTTCATGCCTTCCCTCTGAGATTACGGCTAATTTTCCCTGCATGTAGTTCTTTGCACGTTGTTTTTCATATATTGTCTGCCCCATCAGATCGTGAGCTCCCTGAAGGCAGAGACTATGGCAGCCTTTTTTCATATCTCCATGGCTTAACACAATGCCTGGAATACAGTAGGTGCTTAGTAAATGCTTGCTGGCAAAATATCACTTACCTCAGTGACTCTGGATTTAAATTAAACATGGAGTATGTTACACACAGATATCACGGGAGTGCATGCATTCAGAGGGATCAGGAAAATATGCATAAATATTAACAAAACATATTAACATAATTATTAGGGAAAGTATTAACACGAGTGGGCCCACAGGATAACATGACCAGCGTAAGAAGCAGTTCATACACCAGCAAACCACAAAACAACATAGAGCTATCTCTGCTACGTTGCATGAGACAGGTAGGTGGTGCAGAGTATAGAAGGTCAGGCTGGAGTCAGTAAGACCTGAGTTCAAATCTGGCCTCAGACACTCCCTAGCTGTGTGACCCTGGGCAAGTCACTATCTGCCTCAGTTTCCTCATCTCTAAAATGGGGATAATAATAGCACCTACTTCCCAGGGTTATTGTGAGGAGGAAGTGAGGTAATATTTGTAAAGGGCTTAGCAAGTGCCTGGCACATAGTAGGAGCATAAGAAATGTTGATTGACCAATCTATGGCCCAGTAAGTGGCTGCAGTGAGCTGTCTTTGCAGGACCCCTCGGCAGCCTCAGTGGGGCTGGTCTCTTAAATGGGCCACTTGCCCAATCTCTCCACACCTGGCTGTGGACCTGCTTTCTAGGGGTTCACTAACTTGTGTGTCCCTCAAACAAGTTCTCAGCCCAACTCTGCCTCCTCATCGAAGGTCTTCACAATGAACTCGGGCTTCAGGAAGCTGAAATACTTTCATTGCGTGACTGGGTTTGCCCAGTTCTCTCTTGATGTCGCCTTGAGCCCTGGTAGTTAATGTTCCTCATGCTGCTTACATTTAGGATATGAAGTGTGCATATGTGTGTGTGTGTGTGTGTGTGTGTGTGTGTGTGTGTGTGTGTGAGGGTGGGGGTGGGGCATGGATTCTAACTCTTCCATTCTCTTTTTTTTTTTGGTAAGGCAATTGGGGTCAAGTGACTTGCCCAAGGTCACACAGCTAGTACGTGTCAAATGTTTGGTCTGAGGCCAGATTTGAACTCAGGTCCTCCTGACTTCAGGGCCGGTGCTCTATCCACTGTGCCACCTAGCTGCCCCCTAACTCTTCCATTCTCTAAATGAACTCATTAACTTGGAGTAGCAGAAAGGGACAGCCTCCTTTTACTGGATTGTTTTTTAG